AATAAACTTTCTTTGACAACAAACTTTAAATTGAATTCACACTTTTCAGATTCTTGACTTCTAAATTTGCAAACGTCACGGTGACGTTGATAGAGCTTTAGTAAGTAAATTGACTGTACATGATTATTGTGATGTACACTGCGGTTCAAAAGATTCGTAATCTTTATGTGATTTCACCATCCTGTTCCAATGATGTTGTTTTCATATGTTGATGACATGCCCAGTAAAAACATGATGTAAACATATGTGGTTGCGTTGCAAACTTGTTATTCTGATCTTTGTTCAACACTCATCCTACATAATCGTGATGTAATCAGCAGGCATGCTGAAGGTATCAACAATAAAAGTCACACATACTTACGACATATCGCTGATATAATCTTCTTGGTTACATTTATGAAATGCAATACACACATTGTCCAAACATGGATTCTGGAACATGAATCCAACCCAGATCTTGATCGGTTTGATTTTGATTCAATTTTAATTGTCATTTTATTGTATTGGTATTGGTATCTCGATTTTGATTTCTGATTTCCTCTGTTGGCATCATTTGGTTTCCTTTTGGTCACAATACTTTGCTTACTGGGGCAACACAGTGACATGAGACGCTGGATACGTTCCGGATGTACCGTACAAATAAGAAAAACAACAATGTTTGTTCAACAAAAAGACTTTTAATGTAAAGAAGTAATTGTAGGTAGCCATAGAAGAAAATCCCAATGATATATAACAAAAGAAAAGGAAATGATGAGCCAATCCCCATTCAGTCAATATCTATCAGTACGGTACATCTTCTTGCCACTAGTTTTTGCCAGGGAGAAATATATTATTGTTTGGGGGTTGGACTTTGAGAAACTTGAGGATGAACTGAGAGGCCGATTGAGAGCAACAAAATTCGATGCAAAGGATATCCAGTCAATCCTTTGGGTTCCATACAAGGACATCCAATGAGCAGAAAAAATCACCATGGACTAGTGATGACCAGGAGAGATCAAAATGGGTCAGCAACTCTAGAATAACGGCTGGACAGACAGATACAAAGCGAGATGAAGGCATAAAGCAGCTATACTTCACTTACCAAGAATATCATATCACGATCGGTATGCAAGGTCGACAGATGTTCATCGGACCGACAATCTTCGCGGCGGTGAAATTGAGTTACCTGAAGTCACGCAAAAGCAGAAACACTCAGTTCATCTAGTACATGTTGCACAGAAAGATGTGTCGTACTATACCCACCAAGCCTTTCAAGTTGGGAACTGATTGGTCTTTGGTTGTATGGCCTAACTCAGGTCCGTATCAATAAGAAGAGTGATATATGAGGTCGCGCGAAGGTGGAAGGCGGGGGTCATTGATCAAAACCGAATCAAATCCAAGCAGCCACCGAGACTGATGAACGAAATTGGATAAGAAGGGAAACGAGGGAATGGATATGATAGTAGTATAGAGAAAAGAAAGTAAAACAAAGAAGAGATAATAAAAAAACAAGTCAAAGAGCGGAACAATGTGAAAAGTGATCTGAGACTTGTTGTCAAAAGGGAAATGACTTGATTTGAGTGAAGGTTTTCATGACTTGGTTTTCCAAAAGTCGAACCTCGGGTCTCGTGGGCTTGCTTGCGACAGAGCTTTGGTATCAGAAGCTCATGAACAATCTACATCACTGAGCGGTCCAAGATGAAAATTATATGTGAAGTACCTGGTGAAATCATAATGGGCACATTCAGTTTATGTTGTGGTCAATTTATGTTCTGATGAGGTATCAAGATACCTCGAGAATTTGTGTTTTCAAATTATGACCCAAGTACATCAGCTCTACATATATTTTACAAAAATTCAAAATCCACATCACAATTACAAAACAGATTTGTCACTGGTAGGTAAAGTCCCATGTTTCTCAAATGTGATTACAGCTATTTCGGAAATTCGTGTCATGGTCTTCATTTTTTTTGTTTTTCTTTTTAGGTTTAAGTTAAATGAGAACCGATTCAGTTTCTGTATGATCATACCGGCTTTGTTAAGCTTACGGCTTGGCAAAGATGTGTGTAAGCCCAAATTTATGTTTGGCAAACTCGGGGGGTTTGATCTCGCTGATCTTTCGTCTTTCCCTCTTTTTTCATTGGGGAGGATCCGTCGTCAGGTTTCGAGATTCTCATCCACCATCTCCAGCACCCCTCAACTCACTCTTCGATCTTATCGTCGACCCGCTCAAATCCTCGCTCTGGACCATTTACAATCGTGAGGGACCGTTCCGAACCCTCATTTGGATATCCCAGTCCGGCTGATACTCTGTTTACCGTTTCTTTAGGCTTCTGAAATGCGAGTACAACCATGCAAGTACGACGCCGGCATAAAGGTGCTGGCCTTGCAGTTACTCAAGGAAGGCAGCACCATCGCTTCGGTCAAACGCCAGCTTCGTAGCCCCGTCAGTGACCGAACGATCGCACGCTGGAAGGCCCTTTACGCTCGAACTGCTTGTGTTATCCGTGATCCTGCTGAATACGAGAACCTAGGCCGACAGACCACACTTTCAGATGACGATCGGGAGTTCATCATCGGCCTTGTGGATCGAGATCCTACACTCTACCTTGATGAGTATCAACAATCCATGTATCGCCACACTGGTCAATGGTCGGCTTTGTCCACTCTCGCGACAGAGCTCAAGAATTGACTCTCCCTCACGCTCAAAAAAGCCCGAACTGTCCATCCAAACCAGAACCCCGCCAAGTGTGCCAAGTTCTTGAATAGCGTTGGCCAATTGAATCCCAATATGATGGTGTTTCTAGGGATGTCTTGTTTTAACAAATGATACTGAGATGATACCAACCTTTCCTGAATGCATCAGACGAATGCTCAATCATGGAGCGCTCACTTTATAGAAATTTTGCACGTGCAAAGCGAGGCCAACGTACGAGAAGAATCCCCCGAGGTCGTAGTAGCAAGCGCTACACTCTTTTACCGGCGATATTTCAAGGTGGTGTATTGGCAATGGCATGTCAAAGTGGCAGCTTTTTGCGCAAAGACTTTGAGTCTTTCTTGAAGCATAAACTTGTGGGTTATTGTTTTAATTCTCTTTATGTAGCCAAAGAACATATCTAACAAGTCTTTTGATACAGTTGCCGGTCATGAACCCCTACCCGCAAGCTAACTCGGTCTTGATCTTAGACAACGCTAGTATTCACCACGGAGGCCGAATATCAGAGTTAGCCGAAGAGAAAGGAATCCGCATCGTCTATCTCCCAGCCTACTCACCTGACTTCAATCCTATCGAGAAGGCTTTCTCAGTATTGAAAGCTTTCTTTGTACGATCCCAATTCCTTCAACTAGCTAATCGAGATGAGAAGGTAGATTGTATCTTGGACACTGCGTGGAGAGTTCTCTCAGGTTCCCTCATAAATCGATTATATGCTGTTTGTGGCTATTGGATATAGTTGCACAAAACATATTATACTTCTTTTTTATCAAATTTGTGCTACTTTAACACATCCACTTGGCTGTGTTTCATAAACATGAGTATTAGTGTTATTGTTTTTAATTTTGACCAATTGGTAAAAATTTGTTAAATCTCATACATAATTTCTTATAATCGTACCAGTTATACAATACAATTTAACATTATGTTCAGTAATACAATAAATTGATACTTCAACCCATTTAAAAATCGCACTTTATGACTATCAAGGTCACTAGCTGAGAGTAAATGTGAAAATCATATTGGAGAAACTTGGTACTGAAAGTTCACCTATTCATGCGATCATGACACTCTTGAAGTGAAGATACGACATGAAATTTTCAGCCCTGCACATTTGATTGATGTCAAACATGGCATTTTGAGTTGATCCCAAGTCATTCTTGGGTCTCTTATGAACAATTCCTGAGCTAAGACACCCCACTTGAGTGACACAAATGGGATTTTCAAAGATATTTCTTGAGATTTGTTATCAATGTCAAGTGATTGATTTGAAAATATGTCATTGCGGTGAGGCTCTTACAAATACAACTAGTATGAGGCCAATATAGATGACATATATAACAACAACACTAACAAACAGCTCAACAACTAAAAAGATGAAGGGTGACCAGGACACCATAATACTAGTATAATGCAAGAACATTTGCAAATAATAATAATGCTAGAGACTCGAGGTAACAGATACAAAGATTTCTAACATTCATCCAAGAATGCAAATCAATCCTGGGTTTTTAGATAGTTCAAGTAAACAATTATAAGGACTTCAGATGATGAATGAAGCGGGGTACTGCTTTCCATATGTCCTCGGCTTGAGCAAATGGGATACCCATAGTGCGGAGGTTGGCGATAGAATAAGTCTCGCGGTCAAGGAATCGAAAAAAGTCTTTGATTCCTTCGTTTTCTAAAGCAACACGAGCTTTTTGCTTGTCGGGACCGATTCCAGCAAAGGTGAGGAAGTCGTTGAAAGGAACTGGACCAGGTGGCGGCGATAAAGCACGAGTGGTTGGATTTGGCGTGTAAGCTGGGGGATGATTACCGTCAGGGTTTCCATAGTAGTTATGATGAACTACAGATGGAGTACTTCCAACGGCAGACGGGGCTGGATTTATGGCATACCCAAGGAGGATAGCCTTCTCGCGCTTGTAGTCAAGAACTCGTATGTACTTGAAGTCGGGGCGAGCCATTGGCGGATTGACCTCATCCACCCCTGGAACACCGTCAGCCTATTACCAACAGGTGAGACAATCAGCTACACATATCAAAGCATATGTTGGAAGCTAGTAACTCACCCAATCCTTAGCCCAGGTACGGATCCTGGAAGTGTTGAGCAACAACACTTGTGCTGAGTTTGCAGGATTGACTGCGGTGGCGATGTTCTCACCAGATGCAAACATTGCTTCAAATCGAGCCATTAAGATTAAGTACTTCCTTTCAGTGGGATCTAGAGCATCAGACTGAGTAGAAGGAAATGGTGAGATTCAAGAATAAGAAGATGTTATGAGCAGATTGTACTTACATCAGTTGACATCTCACTACCGTCATCAGACGGATCAGGAGAAGGATCACGATTGCCGCCATCCAAGATTTGAGATGCTTGGGCATTGGTTCTTGGATTCGCGTGTATGAATTTAAAACCCATGTTGGTTTCGGGAGTGTGGTTGTTGGCCGCCTCAAGAAATTCCATAAGAGAAGCGTTATCATGCACTAAAAGTGATCCTTGACCTTAAAACGAGGAGCTCCGTGAATCCAACCCTCACAGAAAGCCTCGCCATCCGCAACCGCCTCCATGAGAGGCCTTGATATACCAGGCTTAACCAGATTACAGGCTTCCAAAAGCCTGCGTTTGAACAGGTGCCAACCGAAAGTGGAATAAAACGACAATTGAAGCTCTTTCTTCGCAGGTCGGGGAGGACGGTAATTCACCCATTGAGGAACATAGGGTTTCAACGGGGCAGCAGGCTTGTTGGGCTTGCTCTTCGATTTTTTTGCTTGGACTCGAATCTCAGGAGGGGGAACCTTCTGCCACACGTTGAACTGGATTTGAAAAGTTCGATCTTTGTCATCAAACACAACAGGCTCGTGATCAGTGCCGTTGGTCATTGGTACATCAACTACAGTTCAGACATCGAAGTTTTCATATAACAAAACCACATCAGTAGGTGTACTACGCTAATATAATTGACCAATCAAAAATACACAATACACATACCTTGACCATGTACCGTTCCACTGACATCGTTCATTGATTGGTCACCTACAGTTCCAAAGAAATTCGAATTTCCAAAGCCTTCATTGAGGCTTCATTGAGGATGTTGTACCTTATTGGACAGGCACAAAATCAGTCATCTGGGTACCAAATATAGATTTGGAATTGTGATGACTTACTGCGGATGCGGTACAACATTCTGAGAGATCATGTTCGCCTCATGGGATAGGGCGCGGTAGTCACACATTGGCGAAAACAAACTATCGATATATTGTCTGCAACATAGCGAAGCAAAAGGCAGGATCAGATGGGTCTGAAGACGAAAAGTAAGATAGGTCAAGTCCCTCACTCTTCAGTTGTATATGACATTGAATGGATGGTTTTTGCTGGCGCGAAGGATGAGACAATAGCACACAAGTGCTTTTATGTATGGAGTATGTGGCAGTGCCAACCTAAAAGCGTTGGGGCATCATTATGCCGAGCATTATGCCGAGTCATCAATTCGGCACAGTGGAATGACCACCCGGTCTTGGGCATCCTGATCTTAGTCAGTGATCATGATCTTGACACGTGATCTCTTCAAGGCTCTTTGAGGTAAGCCATATAAGGATGATTTACAACTGTATGGTTCCTCATTCAACTTAAACCTAAAAAGAAAAACGATTTCGTTTTGAAATCATGACACGAATTTGCGAAATAGCTGTACTGGGGGTGTTTTGAACACATATTTGCCCTTAAAGTTTGCACCGTAGTGTATATAAAATGAAGTTTATAAATTGAAGGATTGGGTAAATGATGATCATGAATTCTTTAAAACCGATTTATGTAAGATCTTTCATCACTTTCAAAGTTTTGTAAACTTTTCTTGTTTTCTTTGATCAATTCAGTTCTCTTACTTTACAACTTTATCAATTGACCATTCAGACCAACCAACAAAGAATCATCAAATCCGTCTGAAATTCATCCAAGCGGTATCTTCATCGGACTTCGAGTTAACATACATAACAGATTTCGGTTTAGAAGGTAAAGAATGTGGGTCATCAAACCATTGATTTCATTCATGTTCTCTGGAATCTTTTTAGGTCAGTCTTGATTCGATCCATTCAAATTGTTGATTATGACTAAACTAAGTTTTATGAACATTCCTCTGAAATGATGATCGATCATGATATGATAGCTTTGTTGATCGTCATGGATCATAAAGTGAGATCATCACCTATGAACTTTCAAGAAAGGTGATTTACGCTTCAAGAGGATTTCTTAAAGAAACTGAAACCTGATCCATGAATGCCTCTTTACCCTTTGATTTATGATGAAAACAATAGATCAAAAATGATTCCTCAACAAGTAAGTAAACCTAATCGGAAGTTTGTCTTGAATTTTTCTTAGTACGAACGAAACTGATGAATTGGTTTGATGGGTCATGCTGGTGATTAGAACGAGTTAGGAAAAAGAGAAGTACCTAAATATACCACTCAAACGGTTCCTAGAGTTCCTGCTTACCTTAAATCAACAAACGAACTTTATTAAAACGACCTGTGAAGTCTTTGTTTATCAAGAATTTTGAATTGGATGAATCAAAAAAATCATTTGTTGGGGTTTGATAAGATCACAGTTCTTTTTACTTTTCTTACTTATCAGTTTTCAAATCTTCAATCCACTTGACTTTCTTTATCATTGTTAAACTTTTTTCAGATTTTAGTAAAGAGTTTTCAGTTTGATTTGTGTTGTACACCAATCACAGTATCTTTTTTATTTTTTTTCAATTGGTTTCTATCAAAGATTAAAGACTTCAAAACCTCAAGTGTTGAATCATTGTCAAAAACCAAGATCTGGTAATCAAACCTGTTGTGTCTTACCTTGTTTGACCTCGAGTTCTCAACACTGAATCTATTTATATGATCTGATATGTGATTTGAGATTTTGCGTCTCTGATTCTGGGCCCTATCAATCATGATTTGAAGTTTTCGGTATATATGTCAGGAAACCAAGTGTTTTATGAAATCTTGAATAAGTTGATCAAGAGTAATAGTAAAGTTGATTGATTCACATCAATTTGAACTCATGAATTCTAGTGTAAGATGAGTAATGGATATTTCTCATCTTTAATGGTTTGAAAGTAATTTAAATCTTTCTGATGCTTCACTATATCAATTGGTATTCTGTGACAATTATCTCTTGGAAGAAGAAAATGGATCTTGGCTTTGGTAGCTTTGAAACCAATGTGTTGAATGATCCTAGTTCATCAATCATCAGTATTTTGTCAATTCAAAAAACATCAAGGGACTTCCCTGGAAGCTCATTGAAGCCCGAGATGCGCATGGGTACTGAAGTTGTGAAGAAAGAGATAGGAAAGGGTAGTTCAAATGATTTCCTTGTATAATTGGTGGTTTGAAAGTTGAGACCTTTGGGGTTAAAGTACGCCAGGCGTGTTCTCTTACTTCGCTTCAAATTACACTTCTCCTATACTACAATGCCATGTCCATATCTCGTATGAGTCTGTCTGGTGCTTATCATATCAAGTTTCCTTCGTACCTAGATACACGATCTTTTGTTTTGGTAGGCTTGAAAGGACTTGGTGAAGTTAAATTGAAGATTATCTTGAAAGATGTCAGCTTTTCTAACTCGTCTCTCTCAGCAGCTGCAGAGCCTGCGCTCACTTACGCTCTATTTACAAATCTGACTCTAACACCGTATGTGCAGTTGTTAATCATCCAAATATTGTCTTGAGATTGGTCAGCTTGCGTAAATTTTCTATTCAGGTGAGCTGCAGTGGCATAGACTGTGCTCACCCAAACCAAACCCAAAGATCTGAATGTTGCACAGTTTCATCGTCCATGCATCATCAGCCATATTGTCTGTAGAGACGAGCTGCACAAACCTCGGACACTAACAATAGAAGAAGTTGCATAAAAATATGTGTACATATTTGCATCAATACTTGGTTTGGTGAACTGATTGGAGATCCTTGTTCATTGCGATTCACATCGAAGAGGTTTGGATATAAATCCTTATCATTTTTTTGGTCAGATAGATAATTCGTGCTCTTTATCTACAATCTTGACCTTTACATTTTTGCGCTCATCTTTCATCTCTGCAAAAGAAAATCTGAGGTGTCTTGCTGAACGCATCATCACTTGAACCATTGTAAAATTCTATCGATTTTCTATCTCAGCACAAAAATCTACATCTTTTTCCCTTGGCTTCTTATTACTTGAAGAGTTGAACCATCAAATCTATCAAGTTGCCATCCCGGCAAAAACAACCCTATTTCTCTTTGCATTCTTATCAAAATCTGTCCTCTAACAGAAATTCAAAAGAAGTTCATCACAACCGCCACCCACAATACAGGACAAGGCAATAAACTTTCACCGTCGAAGTCAGATCAATCGCCACCCAAGCATATTCGATTCTTGCTTCCTTTTCAAATCGACCACATTTACAACAAAATAACAACAAAAATGCCTACACAAAAAGCCTATGTATTCAAGATGAATTTCAGGAACGTATTCCTTCTTTACTTACTCAGTATGGAAAATCTAGTCAAAGGAATCATCCCGAGTAGTGGTCCGGTTCATGCCGACTTAGGTGGTACATCTACCCTTCATTTGTCGGCTCCAACAGTACATAATCCTATGGAGCGTGGTCCAATAAATGAACAGAATACACCTCAATACTATGAAGGTCATTTTGAGAAGTACGATAATACGTTCTTGAGGCATAGAAAAGCATTACAAGATCATACATCTATTCCAGATCCATCCAAACAGACTATTGAGGATGAAAATGCATTATCTCGTGGTCCGAACAATGATGATGAAGAACATTCATTGACTTATGGTCAAGTAGCAGGAATAGTCTGTGGGGCTGGTATGGCTGGGTGTTGTTTATTTTTGGGAGCATGGTTGTGTCACAATAATGAGAGGAAAAGGAACAGTTCCTCTTCTTGAGACTAGGTTTTTGTTTTTCAAATCTTGGGTTGATATGGGATAAGTTGTGAAAATGTTTGAAGGAAGAGAAGAAAGCACAAAAAAATCACCAAGAAGCTGGCTCATATCTTTTGTTCCTTGACCACCACTACCTCAAGTTCTCAAGTTTCACCCTTGTCTCAAAATCGGTTGCATTGTTTTCTTCAACTCTTACTGCAATGATCTGTTCTACCTGTGACTTATATTTTGCCTTGTATCTCTGGATTATTGAGATGTGTTTTGAACTTGGTGTAGGGCTTATACATTACAACCACATTGTGGATGGAGTACATACTAGTCTTTGGAAATTTGATCTTAACCCTCTGGTGTCTTTGAACTTTGCCTTTCCACATCTAGCCTTCTTGTGGTGGTTTCCTTTCAAATTCTCTACAAATCCTTATGTGTTCTTCTAGAGTTAGCAATCAAACCACTGTGAAGAGTTCTACACTCTGTTTCGGGATCTAGGAAAAAATGTCTTTGCTTTATTTTGCGCGTTTTTGTGTGGGGTCAAACTGTTTGTTGTGTTCTCTTGATCTTGCCTCAACATGTCAAGTTTCCTTGTGAGCACCAACCAAGACACAACTTGATGATGAATTCCATGATGGAGGGTTCTGTACAGGCATGAAGACTATGCTAATAGCAAAGGGTCTCAAGTTGTGAGGAGTCCTCTAATGAAATAGAAAATTAATTTTTGTTCACTAGCATTGATACCAAACACATTCAAGCAGAAGTTCCTGCACACAACTCATCCCGCTCTTATATCAAAGCTATATCCATAGATTTCATTTTGAAATCAATTTAAGTGAAGCTTTCAAAACTGAATAACAGGTCACTACGTTTCACAGCAGGGTTTTGAAACCTTGACATCAAGAGATGGCTACATATGAGGAAGACTTGGAGGAATTGAGAGGATCAGCAGAAGAAGCACCGAAGGTTGGAACATTGGGTCCCAGAACAAGAAGCCGCTTGCACAATAGGGATGAACCACCAATGAAAAGAGGCAAAGGGAAGTTCTTAGCACCAGAGACACCAAAACCTAGTGGCAAGATAGCAGACAGAGTGGGAGTGTGGGCCAAGGGACACACCAAGGGTGAAAGAAGAAAGAGGCCTGTTGAGGTAGGAGAACACTGTCAGGCCAAAGAAGCTAATACTACACATAAATGGTAGGTATACTCACTCCTCCCCTCCACAGCCCATTTCTACATCCAAAGCAAATACCACCTTCCTTTATATCCAGTTCATCTTCTCCCATCATCAATCCCTTTTTTGTAGATCCAATCCATTATATGGATCCACCAAAGCTGAGTCAGAAAGGAGCTATATCCTGGACCCAGTTACTTAATTCTCCTATCATCAGCATACTCCAATACATTATAAGGAGCCAGCAAAAGGGCTGCTGCAGAAAGGAGCTATAGCCTGGTCCTCTGGGAAAACCAAGGTGACATGGCATAGCTGAGACAGGCAGAGCTAAATCTGACCAACAAATGTTAGGAGGAAGAATTTGATTAACAACCACCCAAGAGGGAGATTCCGCTGAAGAGATTTGAGGTAGGCATAGTTATATATGTAAGGCTCGAATAGCCTTCACTGGGATACTTTGGACAGGACACTGTGAGGCACAGCAAAAGGTTTCTAGAACCCAAGAGATCCAATCTGTTATTTCCAATACCAACAAGAACTCGTCTGGTTCCAAAGGATAGGGGGCAGGAGATCAGTCCCGATATCTCTAAGGAACCAGTCATTGACTGAGAAAGAAAACAACTATAAATGAATCTGAGCTTAAGACTAAGTAGTAATATTTAGATGTATGTATTAGAGGTTGTGTAATGACCACAGGTCTTACAATATATGTCCTTAAATCTGATGTACAAACAGGATCCATTTGTGATTGAGGCTGGAAGAGCTATATCTGAACTTGGAAGATCCCAGGAACCAAGTGGAGAGGAGACAATCCAAGGCTAAGAGAGGCACAGATTGTTGGTCTGAATCAAAACCAAAAACACAAATCTTTATATAAGTAAAAGAGAAACACAAAGAATCTTATAGAAAGATTTTGTTTAAGATACAGTCAGATCAACATTGAATTTTCATTACCTGAATCAAAACCAAAAACACAAATCTTTATATAAGTAAAAGAGAAACACAAAGAATCTTATAGAAAGATTTTGTTTAAGATACAGTCAGATGAGAAAAGAAAAAGAGAAACATCAGACTGTGATTTGAGCATCAGGTTATATATGAAAACAAAAAGAATTTCTTGATTAAATGACATCATTGATTCAGTGACGTAACATTCCACATTGAGAAGTATGATGTAATTTAATGATGAAGAGAAATACATTTATACATAATACATTTATGTAAACAAGACTTTTGAAACACACATACTCCAACACCCCCCCATGCTGAAAAAGTCCGTAAACAGATTAAGAAAGAAAAAAGAGAATAAAAAAATTAAATTATTTTAATAAGTTATTGAATTTCAATTGATTTCTGAGATTAATAAATGCAGGTCTAGGAAGAGCTTTAGTCAGGAAATCAGCTAATTGAAAAGATGTATTAACTTGTTTCAGTTCAATGTTTTTGTATTTTATTAATTGTCGAATAAAATGATAACGTAAATCTATGTGTTTGCTTCTAGAATGATGCACAGGATTGTTAGCTAGCGCTGCTGATCCAGTGTTATCGTAATGAATAATTGTTGGTTCATGATTGATAAAACGAATTTCTTGAAGTAATTGCCTCAACCACATGGCCTCTCTCCCCGCGTCACTTAATGCCATGTATTCTGCTTCTGTACTTGACAGTGCTGTGGTCTTTTGTTTTCTAGACTTCCATGAAATAAACCCATCACCTAACCTAAACAAATAACCAGAAGTAGACAAACGATCATGTAGATTTTCTGCCCAGTCAGAATCCGTAAAACCTTGAAGTTGATTGTCATAACCTCCTAAAGTGAGATCAAGATGACGAGTATGATAAACATAGGCTAGTACTCGTAAAACTGCTTTCCAATGTTCTTCATTATTCTTCTTCAAAAACTGGGAAAGTCGATTGACGGCAAAGGCAATATCGGGTCTGGTGCATTAAGCAAGCCATAATAAAGCTCCAATTATTGAACCGTAGTTTGGATTTGAGGTGGAAACATCATCTGCCGGAATTAGAGACCCAAAGCTTGCTACGTATGGTGTTGGAACTTGTTGAGGTTCACTAGAGAAAAACTGTTTTGTTATTTTGACAATGTAAGATTTCTGATGAAGAGTAAAATAACGTAGATTTTTAGATCTTTCAATAGAAATGGATAGATGATGCGACAAATTTGACTCTGCCAAGATAGGAAAGGAAGAACGAAGTGATGAAGATAGCGAAAGAAGAAAATGATCTTCACCAGTTGCCGAAATGTCGTCTATGTGTACAGTTACTAAACCAACCAACACGTTCTTTTCAAGCTTAATAAATAAAGTGGGATCGTGAGCTGATTGCCGAAGACCCATTTCAATCAGTGATGCCGTGAATTGATCATTCCAATTTCTTGCGGCTTGATGTAACCCATACAAAGGTAAAATTAGTTGACACACATAATTAGGAAAATTTTTATCACGAAAACCTTCGGGCTGCTCCATAAAAACTTCTTCTTCTAAACGTTTTCCATGTAAGAAAGCCGCTTTAATATCATAGCCTTTGACTTTCCATGATTTCACCCCAGCAACAGTAAGCAAAACTCGATTATATTCCTGTCTAGATGCCGGTGAGAAAACATCACCAAAATCAATACCAGCAACTTGTCCATTCCCTAGAACCACTAGTCTTCCCTTATATTTATCAATTTCTCCTGAGGGTAATAACTTTCTTTTAAAGACCCACATTGACCTTAGCACCTTTCGATTGGTAGGTCTTGGTACCAGTTTCCAAGTACCAAGTTTGAGAAGAGTATCTATTTCAGTTTTCGCAGCTTTTGACCATTCTAACGATTCTTCAGTATCCATGGCTTTTCGGTAAGATTTTGGTTCTGGAGATGAAGTGTCAAGAACGAAAGCTGACGGTGTGAAACGTTCTGGTTGACGTGTAACTCGAGAACTTCTTCGTACTGCAATCGGTGCTGAAGGTAAAACGACTGGAGGAGGTGGAAGTGGAATAGGATCTAGTAAGGGTGTAGGATTTGTTGGAGAAGGTGGCAACAAATCTTCAAGTTCAATTGAAGGATCATGATGTATGGATGGAATAGAGGATGAAGAAGGAAAAGGAGAGGTTACAGTGGTCTTTGAGCGAGTAATAACGCCATAAGGTTGTATTGGTTCTTCAAGTACCGGTAGGTCAGACCAAGGTAAGGATAAAGATTCGGTTGGGTGTTTGTTGGGTTTTAAGAGAAAAGGAAATTTGTGAATAAAAAATTTAAAAGATGAAGTTTTGACAATCACTGTAAACATCATTCAACTTCCCCAATTTGGCAGAGGAAAATGATTAATAGTACAGTTTTTCATAAAAGAATCTAATACTGCACACCTGGGCCATTTCACCCACACTACATATGTGCAGCAAGCTAAGTCAATAGTTGTCTATCATGTACATACAGGTCTGCTCAGTTTTTTGCCCATCAGAATAAATAAATCACATGTTATACCACATGTAACTTTTTCGACTTTGAAATTTTTTTCCCAAAAATTCACTACATATAATTCTGTAGCTGCTCAGGCAATATTGTTGAAGCTATGTCTTAGTAACAGAAAGTGTGTTACATGCAGTTGAGTTGATGAGATCACACCAAAACATTGAGTCAGTGTATGTAGTCAATCTTTTGGAAGCTTTTTTCAATCTGAAAGAAGTTACAGCATGTATTACATATGAATAACTTGTCCTGATGAGCAGATAACTGAGCAGAACTGTATGTACATGATAACCACATATTCACTGAGCCTGCTACACATATGTAGTGTGGGTGTTATGGCTCAGGTGTGGAGTGATAGACCATTTTATGACAAATCATACTCCCAATCATTTTTCCCTGCCCACTTGGGGAACCCGAATAATGTCTGCAGTGTTAATAAGATGTCTAACTCTGTCATATGCTACAACATATTTTCCATCTGGAACTGAGTGTAGAAACACTGCTTCTTGCGATACTGGTGACAGTTTTGAACGTAGAGTTGGAGGTAGAAGATATTCGACCGCACATCCAAACAGAGCAAAGAGAGTAATGTCATCACTTGGTTGTTTTAGAGCTGATAAAGGTGAGCATAGACCGATGTTGGTCTTAGTAGGAAAGTTGTTAAAACATAGTACGATTTGTTGTAGACATTCAGGCCAAAAAAATAAAGGTACTCCTGATGAAGAAAATAAAGTACATAATCTTTCAGCAGCGGTACGGTTCCAACGCTCAGCAACACCATTTGACTCCGGAGTGTAAGGGGCTCCACACAAAGACGTAATCCCTTCTTGAAGACAAAAATCGTTCATGTTTTTATTGA